CCTTTATGAGGAATAAATGAAGAAAATCTCCTAATGCGTTTTAATTTTTCATCTCCACTTCTAATATGCTTGCGGGGTAACGATTTGTTGCAATTTGTGCAGTTTACGTGGCCTCTAACCCCTGATTTTTTTTTTGTTTATAAGTGGAGCCATTATTAAGTTATCTTACTGTTTGTAGTTTCCGAAATAAAATTGAAGGTCCCCAACCCTTGACGAAAATTTGAGCCAAAAAAAATTATTTTTCGATTCCAGTGAAAATTGGTATTTGAGAGTTTATCGAGGTGGGAAATTCAAATCTCAACTTTGTTTTTCTTAAAAAAATAATTTAATCCACTTTATTCCTACGGCCGCTAGAAATAGTTTTATTTCGGAGATAATGCTTATTTACTTCGATGACGTCTTTTTTATTTTGTCAGCAAATCAGGAATCTTTCAAATTAATGTGGGTATTATCAGTATAAAATTCTGCACCTTTTTAGTTATCGTCAAATAAAATATTGAATTCATCGTAACATTTTTCAGCTTGTTTTCGGGAAAGTATGTTATACACATAAATTAAAAGGGTTTCAAGGGGAAGACTTTAGCCAAGTTTCGTTAGAATCGGTAAAGCCGTTTTGGTACTACAGTTTATAGCAACACATTTTTTTGCGGCTTTGAACAGAAAAACATTTACATTTTTATTTTTTTTACATATATAAAATTATCATAAGACAGAAGTACTATGCCAGAAACCTTTCCAGGAGTGTACGGAACAACATCCCAAAGTTTCATGGCGATCGGATGAATGGTTTATTAATGCACAAAGGACAAACAGACAGACATACATTCATTTTTATATATATATATATATATATATATATATATATATATTTGTATTTATTAAATAGGGAGAGGGAGATAACTTCCATAAGTGCTGTTACTTTTCTAAATAAAAATGAATAATGGTGGACGGTAGGTTCTTATTTCAGAAGAGGTTACTCGGGGGTGCAGTCAATATATAAAATACTATATTACGTAATACTAGAGGTCGGACAGACAGTAGTTCAGATCGCCGATCTAGAAGGACAAAAATAACTTTCAAAATTTGAGAAATGTAATAATTCTTTTTATAGATAGTTGGTGAACTAAAAAGTGACCCAGTCAAATTTCGAAGTTCGTTTAAACTCTCACAGTTGAGTACGGAAGAGGGAGGTTTGGGCGAGCAGGACTTCAGTCTCATCAGTTGGCAAATAGTTCCAGCGTTACTTCATTTGTAGTCTAAATCAATACCTGTGTGCCTTATTGCTTAACACTGCTTTTGATAATTCAGTAAATTATCTTTCTTTTTCACTGGATTAATTTAGGTCCAACAAGTTTGATGTTGGTTATAATTGCATTCAGGGATGCCCATTCAATGGCGCAAGACATAATCAGCTCAGCACTGGACAACCTAACACAAGAATTTTCAGTTATAGACCTAAAAATTAACCCTAACAAGTGCAGCATTACTCCTTTAACTAAAAAAAAGAAAGATTAACTCCAAAGATTTTGAGATATCAAATGAAGAATACACAGTTAAAAGCGATGAACACTTAAAGTTTTTAGGCGTAACATTAGACACTAAATTAAATTTCAAAACTCATATAAAAAATATTCATACATAGTCGCTACAAAACTTGAACATTTTAAAATATTTAGCTGGAGTATCGTGTGGTCCTCACCCAGAAAGCATGCTCACTCTCTACAAAATAATAGTAAGATCTAATTTTGATTATTGTTGTGTCGTGTAAATCAAATTATATCTGCTCTCATTAATAAGTCCAATACAACACAAAACTGTGCCATAAGATTGTGTTTGGGTGCTTTTAAAACTTTTTCCAGTAAACGCTCTTCAGGCCTCAGCCGGAGAGATGCCATTACACATCAGAAAATCATGGACAACTAAAAAATACATCCTCAAAGTGTATTCCGACAATAATCATCCTGTAGGTAAAGAAATTAGAAGTGGAAACGTGTTCTATCCCCAACTATCTTTCATTATTAACGAATTCCAGCCTCTTATTAAATCACTACACATTTCGGAAGCACCTCTAGAATACACAACGCCCATTCCCAAATCTTTAATTAATATCCACAGCTCGTCTAATCTAGCTGGTAAATTAGAGAAGAAAAGTTCATAGTCACCAATTTATTTGGAACAATTAGCACTGAACACAATCACGGAACGTTACCCTAATTATCTACAAATTTATACAGACTCATGAACCGAAATTCTGTAGCTGTGTAAAGATACCCAAAAGAACCAGAAATTTTCATTATCAATACCAGTTGATTTCAGTATTTTTAGCGCCGAACTATATGCCATTCTTAACGCCATAATATACAGCGAAAAGAGATAGATCAACCAAGAAATAGTTATTCTGACATACTCAGCAACTGCATGTAAACACCAAAATTAATCAATCAAAATAAAGCACTGACACACATTTTCTTTAAAATCATATCACTAATAAAACATTACGTTTTCCTGTGGGTGCCGGAACACGTAGGAATATCAGGAAATGAAATGGCAGACAAAACGGCAAATTAAAACCACTTAATAAACGCTAATGTCCTTTTACTGGATTTGAAAGAGTAGTGAGGGAGAAAATAATGAAAGACCGGCAGCATTTCTACGACTGGGAAAGTGCCTCGAAGGGTAAGGACCATCATGCAGTTCAACAGAAGACACTCCAGCTTAGTAAAGTTGACCATGCTTAGGATAAATGGTAGAACTAATAAATATCTACATCTAAAAGATTCGAGAGGCAAAGAAGAATTAGTTTAGGACCGCAAACTACGGATGATGGAGCTAACTGTCTACGGTCGATGAAAAAAGATAACGCCAGAGATTTGATAAAGTTTTTGAATGACATAAAAGCAGTTATATGATAAAAGTCGCCTCTTATTCTAATTTAATTGTTATGAAACTGCTGTCACATCAGTTTTTAACTATTAGTCGTTCTAGTTTAAGTTCCATATAAGTTACATTCAATATTTAGTTACATTAAGTGATCATCTATCTATAAATAATTAATAAATATCCAGTGTAATTTCATCTTACAATTAAAATCAAAATATTTTATTGGCAAAATAGGACTTGCTTTTACACGTCTTAAAGCTAAAAAAAAAAAAAAAAAAAAAAATGCTAACGTAGAATTTAAGAAATCTTAGATCATATAAAATTAAACTCACAGCGGTCTGTTACATCTTTTCTCCTCGTTCACTGGTTTGAAACTTTTAATTACAAAAATCCATAACTCCGTCGAAATGTGCCACCCTCAAAAATACAAAACCCCATCAAATAATTGATTACTTCCATACAGGTATTATTTTAATTAATAGTATTGTTAATTTTTTTATTAATTCTTAGGAATTAATTTTCTTAAAAGTTAAATTTTAAGTTATGTTGATTTAATTACTACTGTAAAAGTTTTATTTGTGACGATCACGTGATTTCCAATAGAAAATAATGCTCAATGAATTGTTACCTCCTAGATCGGCTATCGGCCACATTGCCCCTTATCCTTTGCGGGTTTTATCCGAGACAACAGGACATTTTTTTTTCGGATTTGGAATCAAAATCGGACGTCACACAAGTATCATAGGCCATTAAATGGGATGGGATTACATTTTAAAATTTATTTGATATAAATACATACACGCACATATATTTATATTTTATTTTATTTTATTAATACATCCTTATGTATGGTTATATTATAGGTAGAACAATTCCTTGAAGTGGTAAGCTTAAATTTCAGTAAACAGTATATTAATACAAGTGTTTTTTGCAGTTTTAACCTCTGCTGCACTTCAAAATTTAGAGGGTTAAAATTTTTTATGAGAATAGTGTAGGACAATTTTATTTTGGAGATCTCAACTTCTTCTTACATCCCATCATTTTTTTCAAATTTTTTTAAAAATATTTTTTTGAAGATTTTGATATCTTAAGCCCCTTCAGTTTGTAAATTAATTAAGTTGGAGCTTTCTATTTTTTTTTTCTCTCTGCCGTTTTGATTAATCAAATTCAGAAATTAATCATTATCCACCTTTTTCTTTCAACATGGCGGCCAAAACACCTGTGTTGATAATGACTGTAGCGCCTAAACAAATGTACAGATTTTGATGAAATTTTGGTTTATTTATTTATTTGGTAGTTCATACATAGTTACTACATTTTTCAAAATAACAAAACTCCAGAAACTTTCTCAATTTCTAATTCAATTTGTTGCTACCTTCATCATCGGAACGTTTTACCTTGGATATTTGAATCCAAGAATCATATTAAAAAAAAGAAAACATACTAACATTAAGTTATAATATACTGAGCATTGCATTTACATTCAAACAGCAGCTGCGTCGATAACAGTATAAAAGAAAAATATACATACATACATTCATATACATACATAAAGACCGCACCCCGACTAACTCCTTCTCATATTATATCAACGGTCTCTTCACCAATATATATAAAGTAATTTTTAAAACTACGGAAGTAGCAATCCCTCCGCAATATAAGTAATAAGACAGTAATACAATAATACATAAGTAAATAAAAAAAGTAATAAAAAAAAAAAAAATAAAATAAAATAAAACGAAAATTATGGCATCGATATAATCACTGAGTATCACGCTATAAACGAGGAAGCAGCCTGAACCAATTACTGTAATTTCTGTGGGACCCTTTAAGGACTCATTGTAGTAGCGTTCATCGTTCTCTTGGGGATGCCCAACATATCCATGTCTTGGAAAGAGCGTCGGCGCCATACTCCTCTCCTAATTATTGTGAGCGGCAGTACTTTTATGTCCACGCCTGGCACTCCCAGTGTACGCCCGAAAAGTCTCCTAAACTAAAGTCTCCTATTTGTAGCCTTGTACTTCACAAGGGTAATAAAGGAAGATAAAATTAGATTTTCGAATAACTCAAAAAGTATATACTTCTGCCATGAGATGTTAAATTGAAGTTGTTAACTGTACCATATACTGCAGAGAGCAATGTCCGCCATAGCCTCTGCAAGGAAGGACTTGATGCCCCCTCCTTCGATGGTGCCGTTGGTGTAGACCTCGCCGTAACCCCTCCAAGGTAGGAGCACCCTCCAGCGGAGGCCGCGCCACCCGAGGATGGCCGCGACGGCGTTCAGCTCGAGGCCGTCGAACCAATCAGGTTGGCCACCTTGCACTGGGCCTAGCAGCGCGAAGATACTGCAGTTGAACGTGGTCAAGATCACTTCTCTATTTGCGTCTATACTGTCCAAGGGCAGATGCTAAACACATAAACAAACAATTTGTAAATAACCAGTTAAAAGTTTTTTTTTGTTTTTTTGGTTTAATTTTTATTCACACCTGTAATAGTGGTAATGGCAACCAGTGAATGTGAGATCGTTGAAAAAAAATAATATCATGAAAGGCATTACGGGGATCAGTGCCCAGCGGCACCTCACTCGGCGTGATATCTACATTAGGCGAGGAGGTCCCTCATCTAGCTCCTCTTCAGTCTCCTACAGACGTTACCTGGTATATTCGTAGTGGCCATGTCATTTATAAGTGTATTAGGATGTCCTTGTAAGTTGTCATGGAATCATTTGTAATGAGTTCGTATGTGTTCGTTAACAGTCGGCATATGGAGGTCAGTATGTAAGGTTATGTTGCTAACGTACCAAGGTGCTTTTGTAATTGTTCTGAATGTTTTTGCTTGAAAGATTTGAAGTTTGTTTAAGTGAGTCTTTTTAGCAGTTACAAATATGTGTGATGCGTAAGTCCAAATAGGTTTTAGTAAGTAATTGTATGTGTTCAATTTCTGTCTAAATTGTTAAAAGTACAGTTAAAAGTTAAATGTAAATAATTAGTTTTTGGCGGGAATTGGCGAATAGCCTTCCGTTTATATCGGGGACTAGGTTATTTACACTCTAAATGATTATTAAAACAAAACCCCGGCACTGGATATAGACTTTTTGAGGGTGTTTAACTGTCGTCGGGAATCTAATACCTTTTGTGACAAGAAACAATAAGAATAAATGTGGGACTTAGTAAATACACTTTGAATGAATTGACTCAACTGTTTTGTTATTCTTCAATCGTGAGGCATATAGGACAACTAACTAAATAAATGACTTTTCACTCCTGTATAATAAAATAATTTATTTCTACAACTGTAATAAATTGACTCTATTAAATTGTAGACTCTATTAAAGACTCTCTTCCCAGGTATGTCGTTCCGCCTCAATGTCTCAGCCTCAAATGCCTCTCCATTTTCTCTCCTTTTCCTGCTCTCCTTTTTCCAGCGTCCTTCTTCATTGATTGTTTATCGATATGAGACTTTTCCATGAATAATTTGTCCACTGCACAATTGAGTACAATTCACAGTGCAACCTCACATTCCTATATATTATATATTCCTTCTCATTCCCTCTCAAAATGTCACATAAAGGAGTAAATACTGGGAAATGTCTACTACAAATTGAATTAATAATGGTGAGGAGATGGTTGACCGGGATTATAATTTGTGAAGGAGTTGGATATGGGAGTGGTCAATATATAATACTATACATTTATTGTATTAATATATATATGTCGTTGTCACTAGCGGATTCAGGATTTACTTTTGGGGGAGGGGCTTCAGCACGAAAGATTTTTTTTTCATCAACATATAACGATAATTAATTAGAAAAAAAAGAAAGAAATTAAGTATCTATATGAAATGATGTTTAAGTGGTTCTTGAAGTCCTATTAAATGTAATTACAAGAACAAGAATACATAAAGAGATAGTTTTTAATATTTTTTTCTGTAAAACATGGTTATATTTTACAATTTTTTTTTGGGGGAGGGGAGCTTCAGCCCGAAAGCTCCCCCCCCCCGTAGATCCGCCTGTGGTAGTTGTTATTATAAAATATATTTTATTGTAACGATACTATAACTCTGTACAATATAGTCCAGTCAATGAACGTTCGAAAGGAGACATATATATTCTTTAAGAAAATTTAATTATTAAAAACTTCCTTCCCCATGACTTAATCGTAGAACGAAGCAATCAAGAGTTAGCTAATCAAAAACATTAAAAAACATGACGTAAACATTTTTATTTTCTGTATTACTGATAGTTGAGGACAGATATCTTGGAAACTAAGGGGGGTAGCGAGGAAAGGTTTATTATCAATTATGTTGCAAATTTTATCAGCATTAATTTTTTTTAACGTTTCTGTCAATGCGATGGATAGTTTTCCTGACATAAAACGAGAACCCGAAAAAAGTGTCCTTCTGGGCTAATAAGCTTATTACTAGAGAGATATTACTGTAATTTTTTAGATATTAGAAACCTAAGTCTGAATGAAAAATTAGAGAATTTAAATGCAAAAGTATATTGGTTAAACCAATTCTTTACATATAGTAACTAAAATTGTCAAGTACTAGTAACTATTTTGCCTCAATTTTTATTCAAAAAATTGATTTTTTTACCAGTCCTGGTCTTGGTCTTGCAACAGATAGGCGGTGTTGGTCTTGGTCTTGCAAAGTGCAAGACCAAGACCGATTCTGGGAAACACTACTAATAGTCCTACGATCCGTAATCATTTGTAGGTTAAATATTCTTACGGTTAAATAGATATACTTTCTAACCTCTGTAGACATATATGAGCCTTTCGGTTGACAGAATGACTAACTCCAAGTTCAACATTCTTTATTACTAATTTTAGTGATGTTTCTAGTGGCAAAGCTTATATCTCTATTCACAGTTCTATATTTCAACACTGCAAGCACCTCCACCGGAATAAACTTACTCACTGTCTGTATACATAACATTTTCAACTAAAAATATCACTAAAATGACATTCCTCAAAAATGTTGAAATTGGCGTTAGTCATTCTGTGGTTTATAAAAGCAAAGAAAGTTGTGTGGTTTATAAAAGCAGATGGAGTGACTAGATTTTTATTGCCGACCATCAATATAATAAATAGACTTTTTGTAATTATAATGGTCTTAATGACTTGTTACCTGTAAGCTTTAAGCTTTAGCTCCGTTTAAAATGCACTTCAAAAGTTTTTATAATAGTCTAGCATTGCCAGAAAATAATTTCTATTCAAAGTAGAGCGGTAAGTGAAAGTTGTGTGTTGCGCGCACCAGATTTTTAAATTTTCAGACATAAATCATTTGAGTCCTTTGTTTTCAAAGTGAACCATAATCATTATTAAAAATTTTGCAGGAAACGTTAAAACTATATTTTCTTTTTCATTTGTGATATCAAAACCAATATTTGTTTAATAATAATTCAGAAATTCTTTGTTCCGAAAATCATTGATTACTTCAATGGTAATTAAAAAAAATTAGTATCTAAAGGTGTGAGTTGGTGGTGAGGTGGATCTGAACTCTCCATTTGAGGTAGGTTCTTTTAAGTTTGAGAGAGTGAAAAGTTTTATATACCTTGGGTCTGAAATTAATAGCAAAAATGACATGGCTCAAGAAATACAAAGAAGGATCACGGCTGCCAATAGATGTGTCTTTGGACTTGGCCGACACTTAAGAAGTAGGTACCTCTCAAAGAAGACCAAGCTGATCATATACAAGACCCTTATTCGGAGTGTTTTGACATATGGCTCAGAGGCTTGGACGATGACTAAAAACGATTAGATGAAGCTGAGTGTGTTTGAGCGAGGAGTCCTCAGAAGGATTTATGGTCCAGTAAAGGAAGGTGATGTCTGGAGGAAAAGAAAAAATAGGGAGCTCAGTCCTCTCTATACAGACATCGACGTAGTCAAGTATATTAAACTGGCCAGACTAAGGTGGGCAGGGCATGTGGCCAGAATGAGCACCGTTGAAATACCAAAGAAAATAATGATGGAGGAGCTGCATCTCGTAAGACGGGTAGGAAGGCCGAGGACGAGAGGGTTGGACAACGTGGCCTATGATGCGAGAACCCTGCTTGGTGTACGGAACTGGAGAGCTGCAGCAGAAGACAGCCAACTGGCGGAGGCTCTTGGAGGAGGCCCGTGGACATCCCGTCAATCTCGGTAACGGGATGTCGTGCCACATATAATGATGATGATGAGTATCTAAAGGAGTTCCTTTTGAAAAGAATTAAACTTTAAATCCCAGTTAAGAACAGAAAAAAGGGCTATAGAACTTTGTTTTGAAAAGAAAAATGGTGTATGGTTTGTGGAGAAAGTTATAAAAATTGTGCTTTATAAGATTAGCTTTTTGTTTACAATAATATTTCAATAAAATAAATTTATTTTAGATTTTCATTGGAACAATACGTTCAAATAAGCTTAACATGATTTTTTTTTGTTCTTCTTATGAGAACTAATAAGAATTCTTAGAAATGAAAGAAATGAAAGTTTCATTACAGTCCATGAACAAAAAGGTCAGTTTAGGAAATAAACTTATTTTTAGAAAACATTTTTATATTTTTAAGATTTTGAAAAATAATAATTGCACCATCGGATTTATAAGATTGTTTACCTGGAAATTGATACTTACCTCAATTTCTTTTAAAAATCAATTAGTGTTCACTTTGGAAAAAGTGACTCATTTCATAAAGGCTCGAAATCGATTCTGTACCAAATATAACCTTTTTTCATACTCAAAAATGGTACTCTTTGGTTTTTACTTTCCTACCTATACTAGGTAAGGAAAGTATTGCAATCGGTTGAAATTTCCATACACGGTTTTCGACGGATCTATACGTATCAAAGCCCCCTGATTCCGAAAAACACATTTTTAGCCATTGGTCAGTCTGCAAAAATCTTTTGCCCGCATCACACAAGCTTCACTATTTCCTCTACTTTTAATAGAAATTATTGTTTTACAATACTAAGCCATGGCAAAAAGTTTTTGGTCAGTAATATTAGAGAGTATTGAAATTTTTACAATGGTCTACCTTAAGCCGGTTTACATTGATTTAGTTTATCAAATAAATCATACTCAAATCTTTTCTTTGATCAATTTTTAGGAAAATAAATCTAGTTCAATTTTTACTTTCCTACTTATACTAGTTAAGGAAAGTACTGCAATCCGGTCAAATTTCCGACATGCGGTTTTCGACGGATCTATACGTTTCAGAGCCCCCTGAGTCCCAAAAACACCTTTTTATCCATTGGTCTCTTTCTGTCTGTGCCAAGATTTTCTCGGAAACTACTGAACCGGTTTTGTTGCTTCTTTTTTAATTTTGTAGAGTTTTGACTACTGATGCCTGAGACAGAAATTCGGTGCTTTATGCGTAATAGCTTGCGCGCAAAAAAATGAAAAATATGTTTTTATATAGACTGTAGCGCA